ATTCGCGAAAACTAAACTTACCTGTTCCTCTTGTAGTTTTGGTTTTTTCTGTTCTTCTGGTACAGTTGTAACAATTACTTGTTCCTCTTCGACTGTTGTAGTTTCAGTCTGTGGTTTCTTTTCTTTAGGAAGAACAGTGATTGATGGTGTATCAAGAATCAAATGATCAGATTTAAGTGTATAAACACCTTCATCTTCTTCTGGTCGAAGATCTTTTACGACTATTGTATATTTATTATCTTCTACTGTAGTAGTTACACGAGAATCTGGTACAATGCGTTGATCATTATGAAGAAAGACAAATGGTTCTTCAGGTGTGGCATCAAATTGACAAACAATAGTAAGGGTTTCTTTTTCATTAAATTGTGTTTTTGGTATTTGCATTTCTTGTCGGGTGACTGGTTTTGGAGTGACTTCAAGTTTCACCAATGGTTGCTCTTGTTCATTGACAATTATAGTATATTCGCCTTCATCTTCGGGCTTAGCTTTGAGAATTTCTATTGTGGTTGTTGTTGGTGAAATTGGTGTGATTATTACATGTTCAGAAACAGGCAAAGGTACACCATCTTTTAATAGTACAAGGTTTTTACTGATAGGTGTTTCAACAGTTATCGTTAGATTGGTATTTTCTTCGATTCTTTGTACTGGCAGTTCTGCAGGTTGCGTTAGCTAAAATAATACGATTCGATGTAAAAGGGAGTGATTTGAATAGCATGCAAGAGATTAAGAGAGCTCGAAAAAGCGAATAAAGTAGGTGGGAGAGCGAAAGCTTGCTCACGCCTAGGCGTTAACATAGACAAATTAGTTTGGAAGCGTCTTGTTTCTTGCAATATTTTTTTGCAGCGGCGTTTAGCGCGTTTACTTTCTCTAGCTCGAGCTTATTTACTTCGGTAGTTACAATCGATTTTTCTTCTTCTGTAACAATTTGTTCAAAACTAGGTTTTTGATCGGAAACCAGTTCTTTTTCGACTGTGATAGTTTTCTCTTCAGTAGTTACAGTAGGTGTTTCAACAATGATGTTTTCAATAGACTGATCTGCCACTGGTTTCTCTTCTGTAATAATCGTTTCTTGTTGATAGGTTGTCGTTTCCTCTTTGGTAGGTTTGAACTCAGGTTGTTTTTCAATCACTTCTTCAATAGTCATGGTTGCTGCTTGTTGCTCTTTGATCGTTTCTTTTATTTTAGCCTCCTCTTCAGAAATTGGTATTTTTTCAGTCGGTTTTGGTGTCTCGTCTATTCGAGGAGACATATCTTCTTGAATTTCTTTAACTGTTGGAATAGTTTCGGTTGTGGTTACTTCTTCTGTTGTGATAGTTTGTTCAACAGTTGGCTTTTCAATTGACGTTAACTGTTCTTCAACAGTTTTGATTTCTTCTTCAGGCACCATTGTGGGTACTACTGGGACGATCATTTCTGTCACAAACGTCTCTTCAGTTGTCTTGGTTATCGTTGGTTTTTGTTGTTCAATGATGTCTTCATCTTGAACAGTTTTAATTACCTCTTCAAGAGGTTTTTTTTCAATCCTTTCTTCGACAAGTAAAGTTTGATCAGTTGGATGTTTTGGTTGTTCTTCGACTGGTACTTTCTCTTCTTGAATAACTTCTTTAGTGATCACCGTTTCTTCAATAGTTGTAGTAGGTATGTCAGAGATAATTCCTTCAACTGTAGGTTTCTCCTCGGTTCGCTCATCTATTAACGGTTTTTCTTTTTCTTCTTCAACGACTGTTGTTTTCTGTTCAGTAGGTTTTGTTTCTGGTTTCTCCTCAGTAATTGCAGTTGGTACTGTTGAAGCTTTTTCAATCACTTCCTCTATAGTGGAAGTAGTTTCAATGGGCTTTTTCGGTTGTTCTTCGACTGGTACTTTTGTTTCTTGAATGGTCTCTTCAGTGGTAGTCACTTCTTCGATTACTGCAGTCGTTGGCTTCGGTTTTTCTTCAATGACTTTTTCAGTAAGTTTTTGTGTTTCATCTATTACAGGAGACACATCCTTTTGAATAGTTTCTTCTGTAGTAATAGAAGTTTCTTTATCTGTTGGAATAGTTTCAGTTGTAGTTATCTCCTCTTTTGTAATAATTTCTTCAACAGTTGGTTTTTCAGTTAAGATTAAGTTTTGTTCTTCAACAGTTTTTATTCCTTCCGCAATTGTTGTAGTTACTATGTCAGAGACGAGTTTATCAACTGTAGGCTTTTCTTCTGATGGTTGATATATTAATGGTTTTTCTGTTTCTTCTTCAATAACTGTTGGTATTGATTCAGTAGGTTTTGTTTCTTGTTTTTCTTCAACTTCTGAAGTTGGCACTTTCGGAACTTCTTCTGTAGTAGAAATTGTTTCAGTTGGATATCTCGGTTGTTCTTCTACTGATGCTTTCGTTTCTTGAATGATCTTCTCGGTAGTAGGCACTTCTTCGATAATTGGCGTTGGTGCGATCGGTTTTTCTTCTATAACTGTTTCAGTAGGTTTTGTTGTATCTACTACTGTTGATATTGTCTCTTCTTGTTTAACTTGTACAGAAGTAGGAAAAATTTCTTCGGTAGTCACTGTTTCTGTCACTACTGGTTGTTGTTCGACAATCGTATCTTGAACTAGCGGAGTTATTATTTGCTCTTGTTCCGAAACTGTCTCTTCCGGTGCAAGTGTTTGAGTAGTAGTTTCATCCTCAATAATGGATGTTGTTGATTTTGGCTGTTCAGTAGCTGTTATGGTCTTGTCTTCTATTGTTTCGATAGTCTCTTTGGGTTGTTCCTGAAAATGTACTTTCTTTTCTTCGTACACTTGTTCCGTAGTAGTTATAGTCTCTTTAGTTTCATGCGGAACTTCAGATGGTTTTATCGATGTTTCAGAAAGGATTTGTTCTGTTTTGGATTCTTCTACTGTTTGAATTATGTCTGGTTTCATTGCAGATTTTTCTGCAGCTACATCTTCGGCAACTGGAGCTGGCACTTCAGGGATTTTAACTACTTCTTCTGCTGAAGGTACTATGTCTTTTTGAACAACATCTTCTACAGTAGGCTTTTCGAGAGTAGTCAATTCTTCCTTAGTTGTTGTGATTTGTTCTGATACAGTTGTGGTCGGAACTTCAACTTCAGACGTTTTTTCAACTTGTTGAGTTATCGTTGGTTTTTCTTGTTCACTTGTTAACTTTTCTTCAGTGATAGTAGTTATTTCCTCAATAGGTTTTAATTCAATTTTCTTTTCAACAAGTTCTTCAGTAACTGTAGTAGGTGCTTTTGGAGTTTCTTCTTTCGGCACCGGTTGCTCTTCAATCTTTTCTGTAGGAATTATGTCTTCAATAGTTGAGACTATTTCGATTATGGGTTTTATTTGTTCATCTACCGAAGGTTTTTCTTGTGTAACTTCCTCGACGGTGGAAATTAGTTCTGTTGGTTTTTCTTCCGCAGTTGGAATTTTTTCAATAGTTTTCGGTGTTTCTACTACGGATGGAACTGTATCTTCCGGTATTACTTGTTCTGTAATAGTAGTAGTTTCTTCAGTAATTGCTGTTATTGTTGGTTGTTCAGTGATAGGAGTTTTATATTCTTCTATAACCTCAGTAGTTAGTTTTGATTGCTCTTGATCAGGTACTGTTTCTTTTGATGGCGTTTCTGTGATAATAACAGTCTCAGTAACTGTTGAAATAGTTTCTGTTATTGGTATTTCTTCTTCTTCTGTGACCGGTTGCTCGACAACTGGTTTTTCAATGGAAACGAACGGTTCTTCAATAGTTTTGATTTCTTCTTCAATTGTCGTCGTCTGTGCTTTTGGGATGCTCTCTTCAGCTTTTGTCACTTCTTCAATTGGTTGTGTTTGTGTTGGTTTCTCTTCTTCTACGACTGTCTCTTCTTGAAAAGTAGTAGTCACTTCCTCGATAGGTTTCATTTCAGGTTTCTCTTCGACAACCGTAGTTGGCACTTTCGGTGCTTCTTCAATTACTTCCTCTGTAGTGGAAATTGTTTCAATGGAATATTTTGGTTGTTCTTCAACGGGTACTTTTTTTTCTTGAATAACTTCTTCAGTGATGATCGTTTCTTCAATAGTTGCTGTTTGAGTTTTTGGTTTTTCTTTGACAAATTCTTCAATAGTGATAGCCTCTTCAACGATTGGTCCTTCTTCAATATCTTCTGTAGTAGTAAGACTTTCTTTAACTGTTGGAATAGTTTCAGTTGTAGTTACTTCTTCTTTAGTAATAGTTTCAACAACAGTCGTAGCTGGTACGTCAAAAACGATTTTTTCAATTGTAGACTTTTCTTCGGTTGGTTGATCTATTAATGGTTTTTCTTTTATTGCTTCTTCCTCAACAATTGTTTTTATTTGTTCAGTAGACTTTGTTTTTGGTTTCTCTTCGACAATTGCAATTGGTACTTTCGGAGCTTCTTCAATTACTTTCTCTGTTGTGGGAATTGTTTCAGTTGAATATTTCGGTTGCTCTTCGATTGGTACTTTCATTGCTTGAATGACTTCCTCAGTGGTAGTCACTTCTTCAACTACTGTAGTTGTTGGCTTCGGTTTTTCTTCAATGACTTTTTCAGTAGTAGTAACTTCTTCAACAATTGGTATTTTTTCAGTAGGTTTTTCTGTCTTCTCGATGATAGGAGAAATATCCTTTTGAATGACTTCTTCTGTAGTAGTAGGAGTTTCTTTAATCGTCGGAATAGTTTCAGTTATGGTTACTTCTTCTGTTGTAATAGTTTCTTCAATAGCTGGTTTTTCGGGTGAAATTAACTGTTCTTCAACAGTTTTAGTTGGTATGTCAGAAATAATTTTTTCAACTCTAAGCTTCTCTTCAATTCGTTCATCTGTTATTGGTTTTTCTTTTTCTTTTATTGTTTCTTCTTCAACGACTGTTGTTATCTGTTCAGTAGGTTTTGTTTCTGATTTCTCTTCGACTACTGTAATTGGCACTTCCGAAGTTTCCTCAATAACTTCCTCTGTAGTAGAAGCCGTTTCAGTTGGATATTTCGGTTGTTCTTTAACTGGTACTTTCTCTTCTTGAATAACTTCTTCAGTGATGATCGTTTCTTCAATATTTGTTGTAGGCGTTTTCGGTTTTTCTTCGATAAACTCTTTAGTAGTAGCGACTTCTTCTGTAGTAGTAGGAGTTTCTTTAATCGTCGGAATAGTTTCAGTTATGGTTACTTCTTCTGTTGTGACAATTTCTTGAACAGTAGGTTTTTCTTCAATTCGTTCATCTGTTATTGGCTTTTCTTTTTCTGTTATTGTTTCCTCTTTAACAATTGTTGTTATCTGTTCAGTAGGTTTTGTTTCTGATTTCTCTTCGACAATTGTAGTTGGCACTTTTAGAGCTTCTTCAATTACTTCCTCTGTTGTGGAAGTAGGTTGAATGGGCTGTTCCGGTTGTTCTTCGACTGGTACTTTTGTTTCTTGAATGATCTCCTCAATGGTAGTCACTTCTTCGGTTACTGTAGTCGCCGGCTTCGGGTTTTCTTCAATGACTTCTTCAATAATTGGTCTTTTTTCAGTAGGTTTTTGTATCTCCTCTATGACAGGAGAAACATCTTTTTGAATGACTTCTTCTATAGTAGTAGGGGTTTCTTTAACTATCGGAATAGTTTCGGTTGTGGTTACTTCATCGGTGATGATAGTTTGTTCAACAGTTGGTTGTTCAATTGAAGGTAACTGCTGTTCTTCAACAGTTTTTATTTTTTTTTGAACTGTCGTAGTTGACACTTCAGGGAGTGTCTCTGATAGTTTTGGAATTTCTTGTTTTGGTTGTTCTACGGCAGGTGCCTCTTCCTTTTGTCGTATTTCTTCAATAACTATTACAGTTTCTTCGGAAACTTTTGGTTGTTCTATGATAAGTTTGTGTTCTTCAGTAAGCTCTTCTATGCGAGGAGTAGTGTCTGTTATTATTTTTGTTTCCTCCTCTTTGATTATTGTTTGTTCAACTGTTGGTTTTTCAAGTTCAGGCTTCTTATCTAATGGTGTCTCGATAATCTGTTCAGTTGTAGTTATTATTTCTTGTTGTTCTTCCAATTTGCGCACAGTATCAATAGGTATTTCTGGTTGTTTTTGTTCGATTGAGACGGTAGTTTCAATCTGTTTTTCAGTTGGTATCGTTTCTTGTTCAGTAGTCACGACAGGACTTATTTGTTCCTGTGAAGTCGTGATATCAGTAGTAGGTATAGTCTGTAAATTCAAAGATTGTATCGTTTTCATTGTCTGAAATTTTACCTTTTCATCTAGCTTGTCGATATGTTTTGTAACTTCAGGTATCTGAGGTTTCGTCTCGTATACTTGTTGATCCTCGTTAGTAGGCTTTTCTTCATTTATGACCTCTGGAGTTGTCCGTGGTTTTTCGATCGATTTTTTCTGTTCAACAATTTCGATTACGGATGGCTAAAAGTATTTTTTTTATGTTTTTTTTTCCGAAAAAAAGAAAACCAAGTTTGTTCTTCGAAATTTGAATGCGTATCTCATTTTATATTTTATAACATGCGTTTATCTCTTTATAAAGCAATATGGAACGGGTTTTTTTCTTGCAAAACATACTTGTTCAACAGGTTTTTCAATAGTAGAAGTTTTTCTTTCATCAATTACGATCGTTTTAGTTGTCGAAATTGGCTAAAATAAATAATTGTGTTTGTTTCCATAGAATTGAATATTTTTTGTCTTATACGTTGTGTTTTAATTATTTTATATGTTTTAATTAAACGCAAAAAATGACGTTTTTTTTTTACGTAAATGATAGTCATAGCGAATGACTATATCGAAATGGTAATGAACGCATTTTTTTTAATGATATTCACAGCACACAGTGGAAAACGCACAACATGACAAATTAAACTTACTTGTTCCTCTGTTTTTGGTTTAGTCGATGATATATCGGTTGTAACTTGTGGTAAAGGTTGTTCTTCGACTTGAGTCGTTGTTGTAACAGGTTGTTCTGGTTGAGTTTCAACAGAAGGTTTTGGTCGTTCGACAGGAGTAACAATTGGCTGAAAAAAAAACGAAGGATTTTATATTTATATGTAATGAATGAAATAAAATCAAATATTTACCTGCTCAATGATTTGTTCTTGTTGTTCAGTTACAGTTAATTTTGGTTGTGGTTGAGTTTCTTCAACAGTTGTTGTTTTAACTTCCACAACTTGTTCAACTGGAACTGGTTGCTAAAAAAAAGGAGGCAAAGAATAATTTATTAATGTATTAATTTTTATGTTACTTGAGTTTGAACAATAATTTCTTCTTTCGTTGGTTCAGGTTTAACAACTGGTGCACTAACTATAACTGATGGTTCTTGTTCTTGTTGTTCAATTGTTGTTGTTGTCGTTATTGTTTCATCTGGTTTCTTCGCTTTTGATTCAATTACAGCGGTAGGTGCTGGTACTTGTTCTAATGGTTGTTCTTTTATTTTTATTTCTTCAACTTTATCAGCAACCGTTACACTTGGCTAAAACAAAACAAATCATAATTAGTAAAACAAAAAAAAAAGAAGCTGTTAGCACAATTCCTACGAGATTAAAATATGAAGTCATAATATAGCTGATGTTACTAATCGCAAAGAAGATTGTTTTATTCTATCTATTTTCGAACATATTTCTTCACTACTTGATCCTTCAGAAATGCAATAAGGAAGTAGCTCATATATTAGAATGAAACGTTATTCATATAGATCCATAATCGTATACTAGGATCTGTGACGGTCTCTTCTTAGCGCCTGTGACATTGATGTCCATGACGGCGAAGAATCTGTCGCTGCCGCGATGGTATTCAAAAAAATGTTTCGATTTTCAAGACCGTGGCTAGTTTCAACTAGAACTGCTGCTGCTAATCGACCAGATTTGCTAAGTTTTACAGTATCACATACATGAACACCGAGATTCTGTGCAAACTCATGTGTTTCTGAAATTTCTTTCTAAAAAAACTGCCGCCGATGCGACGCCACCACCACGATGGCAGCGGTGTCCAAATTTGTACCTCTATACTTCAATACTCCATTTAGATCAATCTGTACAAAAAGACTATCTTCTATTATAATCTAACCTGCATAGTTACTGTTGTTTCATCACGTTGAATTTGAACAGTTGGTTGTTGTTGTGGTTGTTGTTTAGGTAAGATATGAATAAATGGTGTATCCAATATTAAATATTTACTTTCAAGTGAATAAACACCTTGATCAGATAATTTTAAATCTTTAATAATTAATGTAAATGTTTCATTTTTTTGTTTAATAATTATTCTTGAATCATTATATAAAATTGAACCATCTTTTGTCCAAATAAATTCTGTATTTGGTTTTGAATCAAATTTACATTCAATAGTTAATGTTTCATTTTCAATAAATGTATCTTGTGGTAAATTCATAATTTGTCTTTGTATTGGTTTTTGACGTACATTTAATTGCATAATTGGTTGAATTTGATCACGTATTTTAATTGAATAAAAACCATTATCAATTAATTCAACAGGTGAAAATTTAATATCAATTGTTGTTGGTGATGTTGTTTCAGTATGAATATTCTTTGATGGTATTAATGGTTGATTATTTTTAAATAATTTGATATCAGATAAATGAACATTTGAAGGTTTTTCAACAGTTAAATGCATCATATCACCTTCAGTTACTTCATGAACAGGTATATTTTCATCAACAGGTTGAAATTCTTCGACTGGTTGTGTTTCACTAAAAATTTTAAAAAAAATATTTTTTTTCATATATATTGAAGAACACAAAAAAAATATAAATTCAACATACACTAATTGTTCTTTAGGTTTTTTCATATCAATTGTAACAGATGATTTTCGAATAACTTCTTGTGCTGGACGAATTTCTTCTTCAGTTGGTTTTGGTCCTGGTTTAGGTATAACTTTAATTTCAGGTGTTTTAACTGTTAAATTAGGTGTACGCATCTCATAAACTCCACTATCTTCTACTTGTAAATTATATATTTCAAATGTATGTGTACGAGTAATACGATCAATAGTTAATTTATGTCTTGGACTTGTATCAATTGGTATAAACATTTCATTTTTATACCATTTAGGTATTTCAGTTATTTGATCTTTTTCATCAAAATCAACTTTAAATAAAATTGATTCACCAACATTAAATGTTGTTTGTGGTATATCAAGAGTTTTTTCTTTTATTGCTCGTGGTTCAACATAAAGTGTAACTAAATGTTTAGGTGTTGGAGCACCTTCTACTTGATATTCATATTTACCAGAATCTGATACACGTAGATTAAGTAATGATACAGTATAATTACCAGGTGATACACGATGAACAATAATTGATGAACGTTTTTTCGTATCAATTGGTACACCATCATGTATTAAACGAATTTGATTTGGTTTTACATCAAGTGTACTAACAACTTTTAATTGTATTGAATCACCTTCTTGAACTCGTTGTATATTTTCACGAGATATTGGTGAAGCTAATACAAAAAAAAACAATAATCAGTTATATCATATTTCTTGTTTTTTTGTTCTCATTAAATTTTTTTCTTTGGAAAAAAAACTAATACAGTAAAAACTTTCTATAATGGAACTTAGAGATATGCGGGATCAATCTTCAGTTCTGAAATCGAAATCAAAGTTTTTCGGGACGGAGACTACGAGAAAAAAATGTTTTTCCAATCAAAACATAACTCAAGAGACATGATCCCAAAAAAAAGTAATAGTTATCGACCAAATCAATCAAAACATGAGTATGAAAGAATTCTTTTTTGTAGATGTAATACGAATAAGTTCTAGCATAGTTTTCTCTAGGTCAAAACCAAGATCAGTTCCGGGACCGGATTTACTGAGACTATAAAGAACCTCCTCCTGCACGTATACATGTTTTCTAGACATTTGAAAAGTGTTAGCAAATAAAAAAAAAATTCGATATTCTCTTTCTATTGATTTCAATTTGAGATGGAATATACGACTTTCTCTTCATTTCAGACAAGCTCAGCCTATTTTTTGCTACAGACATATATTTCTCCTTGTTCTGTATTGTTCGCCTCAACTAGTTCGAGTTTTTCTTTTTCTAACAAAAAAAAATAAGATGCTGAAAATATTTGTTTTTTTTTTTTTTGTTTATTAAATTTACATGGAATATTTTGTTGACTGGTAATATCTTCAATAACAACTTGACTTATTCGTCTTTGTGGTTGTTCAGGTTTAAGTTTATATTTATCTTGATCATCTTCAACTTCAGTAACAATATATGGACTTGGTTGTTGATCAATTTGTGGTTGTTCACGTTGAATAACACGTATTAATGGTGTACGAACAATTAAGCCTTTAACTCTTAATTCATATTGTCCTGTATCTTCTGGTTTTAAATGATCAATAATTAATGAATGTTTTCGTCCATTATTTTCTGTTAATAAATGTATATTTGGTGTTGGTTGTAATAGTTGATTATTTTTAAACCATTTTGGTTGATCACCCTTTGGTACTTGTGGAAATTCACATTCAAGTTCAAGACGTTCACCGGTATAAAAAACTTCTTTAGGTAAATCCATATTTTGTATTATTGTTGGTCGTGGTTCAACAATTAATTCAGCTAATGGTACAGATTGACCTTGTACAATAGCTGTATATAAACCATGATCAGGTATTTTAATATCTTCAATTTGTACAGTTATAGAATTTGTTTTATAATCTTTTTTCATATGAACATGTGGTTCATGTGTTATAGGACTTTCTTCATGAAATAATTCTATTTTATTTAATGGTACATCAAAATTTGGTGTTAATTCAAAAGTAACAGTATCACCTAAGAGAATAAATTTAACAAAAAATAATTAAATTGAACAAAAAAAAAAAAGAAAGAAAATTTTACCTTCATGAACAAGTTTTGAACTAACTTGTGGTCGTAATTCTTCGATATTAATTTTTTTCTCAGTAGAAATTACTTTAATTGGTGGTGTACGTAAAATATTATTTGGATTTCGAAGTTCATAAACACCAGCATCACTTATTTGTAAATTAAGAATAGTTAATGAATCACTATTTGTATCTTTTTTCATTACAATACGATCATTTGGAATTATTGGTTGATTATCTTTATACCATTTATAATCTGTATTTATATTTGATTGTGGAAATCGACAATCAATTTTTAATGTTTCATTTTCTTTAAATGTATCTTGTGGTAAATTAATCATTTGTATTTGTAATTCACGTGGTTGAACATCAAGTTTTATTATTGATTGCATATTATCATTAATTACTGCACTATAATCACCAGCATCAATTAAACGTGCATTTGTTATTGTTAAACGAACATCTTTATTTCCAAATTGTTCAAGACGAATATGTTTTCGTGTTTCATTATCAATTGGAATTGGTTGACCATTTTTATATAAATGAACATCATTTATTGTTATTGGTGTTGGAGAACTTATTTTAAGTGTAACATCATCACCTTCTTTTATTGTACAAACTTTTGTTTCAACAGGTGGTAATGGACGATTTGGTGTAATTGTATATGTTATTGTTTCATCAACAATTTCAGTTACATCATGTGGACGTTCGACGACATTTATAAATGGTGTACGAACAATTAATGGACCACTTTGAACTTCGTAAACACCTATGAAAAAGATTTTATGATAATTTTTAAAGATATGTACGAAGTCATACAAAAAAATCGTAGTGTTAGAAATCTCATGCCAACGATGAAACCTCTTTAGCTCCTTCCATGCGATTTCAATGATTTTTTTTTTGCCTATAGATACTACATGGTGTTCTAATAAATACTCTAAAAGGATATGGATGCTTATTCATATTTGATTAAGCTATTGATATCAATTTTCAAGAGATATTAGGTTTTCGAAAAATTTCTATTGTAGAATTTTGATCTGAAACTTTGTACATATAGAGAACTCAACGAGATTAACTTTCATAAAAAAATTCAAAAGTTTTGAATAAAGTTTCTTCAAAATATGAAGCTTTCAAAAAATTCATATTGTATACATCAGAAGCGTCTATGGTAATGCTGCCGCTGTGGCAGTGTCGGCAGCAGCATTTTTAGAAAGAAATTACCAAAATATATGAATTTGCATAGAATCTCAGTGTTCACATATGTGATACTGTAAGACTTAGTAAATCTGGTCGATTAAAAGCAGCAGTTCTAGTTCAAATCAGTCCTGATCTTAAAAATCGAAACATTTTTAAAAAATACCATCGCATGTGAGTTGCATAGAAGAAAATTAATATTTAATTTAGTTGATAATTTTCAATTAACTTACCAGCATCATCTAATCGTAAATCTCGTACAATTAAAGTAACTCGATTTCCAATAGTTTCAATTGATACTCGTTCATTATTTCGAAGTAGAATATTATCTTTTGTCCAACGTGGTTGTTCTGTTGGTTCATTTGTAAATTCTAAATCAAGTGTAACTGTATCACCAATATAAAATGTATCTTGTTCAAGTTGCATTTGTTGAATTTCAGGTTGACGTGGTTCAACAACAATTTGTGCTAATGGATGAATATCACTTTGAATTTGTACACTATATAATGCTGAATCATCAAGTCCTAATGTTTGTAATATAATACGAAGTTTATCATCTTCTCGTTTAATCGATGTCTAAAAGAGAAAGAAAAAAAAATCAAACAATAGAATTAAGTTATTTAAATGAGAAATAATTAAAGAGCAAACTCGATAGTATATTTGAAATCTGCGTCGAATCCTATATGTTTTAGTTATAAATATTTCCGATGAAAAATTCACCTGTGCCCATTTTTTCTAAGATTTTGTCTCTATAGTCTCGCAGGGATCGATTTTTCGTAGAAAAAAATTTTTCTTAAAACATATGATTCAATGAAGTTTTCAAATATTTCATCTATTTCGCTTTTAAATTGAACCATGGTAATAGCAATCGTTTAATACAGGTGCATTTTTCATTGTTTTTATCTGGCGTTGCCACCGAATTTAAATTTCTCAACAATAAAACAGAATGTAAGAAAAAACCCTACATAAGTACTTTTGTAGCTCACAATCTTGTAATTCTAATCAGATAAGACACTTACTTCTATCTCAACTAGATAGTTGTACAAATTCATCAATTATATACAAATAAACGAGGAAAAAGCAAAAACTCGCTTGGATAATTACCTTTGGTTTTTGTGAAGGTACTATTGGTTTCCCATTTTTTAATAATTGAATATCTTGTGGTCTAACATTTGTTTGTAAACCTTCAACTGATAATGTAACTGTATCACCTTCTCGAACATTTTGTACAGGTATATCCGGTTGTTCTCGTTTAGGTATAACATAAATCATAGGTGCTCGTGCTATAACTGGACCAATACGAACTTCATAAACACCTGAATCTGTACGTTTAGCATTACGTATAACAATAGTTAATGTATTATTTTCATCAATTAATTGTATATTTTCATTTGGATGTATTAAATGTCCATCTTTAAACCAATTTGCAATTGGACCTGGTCGTTGTGGAAATGTACATGCTAAACGTATTGTTTCACCTTCTTCAAATGTATTTCGATCTAAATCAAGTAAAAATACATCTGGCTGTCGTTCTTTAACATCAAGTAAACATATTGATGTACGTTGTCCTTGAATATCAATTTCATATAAACCACGATCATTTAATGATAAATTTTTTAATTCTAAGTTAAATTCTTTACCATCAAACCATTTATTTATTTCAGGTTTATTTATTATTGGACGATTATCTTTTAATACTGTTATTTGATTAAGTAAATCATCTGGTGAAATTTGTTGATAATCCTTTTGATCAATATTAACATCGATTTGAAGACTATCACCTTCAGTTACTGTACGTAATGGTGCTGGTTGAGTAGGTCTTTCAATAATACGAACAAATGGAGTTTCAACAATAAGATAATCACTACGTAATTCATAGATACCTTAAGAGAGAAATATAATAAATAAACAAAAAAAGAAAGATTTCAAATGAAATACCTTCATCACTAAAATCAACATTTTTAATTGTTATTGAATATTTTGTTGGACCATCTTTTATTGAACTTTCAACATTAATTAAATAATGATTAGACGGTTGTATTGGACGACCATTTTTAAACCACGTTGGTAAAAGATTTTTTGTTTTTATTGGTCGTTCAAATTTACATTCAAGTGTTATTGTTTCATGTAAATAAAATTCATCTTTTGGTAATGTTATAAATTGTCGTTGTATTGGACGTTTTTTAACAGATAAATCAAGTAAATCTTGTCGAATTTGATTATTTATTTCAATTGAATAAACACCTGAGTCTTTTAGATCAACATCAACTAAACGAATAACCCATCGATTCGAATCAATTGATGAAGTATCACGTTCTAATTGTATATGAGAATCATCAACTACAGGTTGATTATTTTTTAATAAACGAAATTGATTTGATGATGTTAGTCGAAGATCACTGTCAGGTGATACTTCAATTGTTAGAGAATCACCTAAAATAATTTTTAAAAAGTTATTATGTATATTGTGATCGAATGAATATAGACGAACAACTGATTATATTGAACTTTATCTTTAATTTTCATATAGTTTCTATATTTTAATGCTTCGTTTTCAAAATCAAATCATAAAAATCTATCTTTAATGTGTCTGTCGATTATTATATTTATTGTTTTTGTTCTTTCATATTTCAAATAGAAAGATTCTTTTTAGAGTTTATTATCAATTATTTTTAAAAGAAAATCTTCATTCGAAAATGATCATACTTTCAAAAGATCGACATATATATCAGATTAGGCTAAGAGCAATAAACTAAAAAGAAGTGTGGAAATATAAGGGTAGAAATTAGCCCTTCCACAGATTGTCACAGACCACTTACAAAAGAATATTCCCAGGTGTCCATTCACTTTTATGCCGTATCTACCATAAAAAGAGTTCGCGCCTATGACTTGTTTCTCAGGAGATTGAATTATGCTAGCTTGTATAAAAAATTTCAAAATTTTCAGACTTACTCTTTCTGAGATATGACTAGTGCTCATTGGATCCAAGAATTTTTCGAGCTTGATTCGGACACGATGGGCTCTGGATATGGCGCTTTCAAAAAATAACATGTTGTATATGTTATCTATGAAAAAGAGCTTCTACCCCTCAAAAATTTCGCATCAAGAAGAAACTTAGTTCGAAAACTCTGAAATCTTTTATGCGAACTAGTCTTATTTTACGTAGGCAAAGTTTCAGATTGAAATTCGAAAAATATGGTCTCATTGCAGATGTGCGCTCCTACATTTGGAACTCACTAAAAACGTTCAATCTCTTCAAAAACAAACCATGGGCACGAACTTTTGTCACGGTAGACATAGGTCAACAAGATCTTCAGGATGCACTAAGTCTCAGTTCCAAAGCGAACGAACACTTGGGAATGTGTTCCTTCGTTAATAACTCTACAATCTTCATCACAGAACGTGACAGACATAGCCACGTAACTGAACTTTATATTAATTTACAATATACGTAAGTTCATAATCTTGCCATGATAATTCTAATAGCCTTGATTTTTTTGTAAAGATAAACTTGTTGATTAGTTATATTTGAAAAACAATTAATAAATAAAACTTCAACTAACCTTCCATAACTTCTTGTCGTTGAAGAGGAAATAAAGGTTGTACAACACGATCAAAACTTTCATCATCGGTTGACAATCCCGTATCATCAACAACATCAAGATGACATGCACGATATGTAGTTCCCAATGAAATAACATATTTAGTTGAATCTTCTTTTTGTGCATCATGTATTAATAAACATTGAATAGTACCTTCAGATATAACTTCATATTTATTATTTAATTCTGGTCGAATTTCTTGATTTTCACGAAACCATTTAACTGGTACATTTGGTTTATTTAATGTACAACTTATATTAACAACAGGTCCATCTTCTCGTCGTCTCCAAACGAGATATGATTGTGGACCATCAACAAATTGTACAGCAGATTCATGTATTTTAACATCCGAAACAGTTATTAAACGATCTTCAAGACGACATGTATATGTACCTGAATCAAATTTATTAGCATTATTAATAATTAATGTACATGTTTCATCAGCATTAATAATCATTAATGAATTATTTGTTTCTAATGGTATATTTGATTGATCTTTAAACCATTGAACTTTTTTTGGTTTACGATTTGTTTCACATATTAATGTTAATGTATCATGTTCATTTAAACGTATTTGTTTTGGTAATGGTTGAATTAATTGTAATTCACGTTCAAGAATTTTAACATGACATTGTGTTGCAATATTATTTGCATCAATAATACATGTATAAATACCTTCATGATCAATTTTTTGTGCTTTGTCAATTGTTAAACGATGTTCATTCGTTGGTAATGAATCTAATTTTGTTTTCGTTGATAATTTATAACCATTTTTCATCCAACTAACTTGTGTTGGTTTATTTGTACGTGTAACAAGTACAAAATTATCACCTTCTTCACATAAAAATACTTCATCAAGTGGTTGAATAAATTCTAATGTTGATGGGGTTTGTAAAACTTGTAAATTAGCTGTTGATGATTGATTACTTTCAGGAAATGATATTGTATATTGTCCTTGATCAGATAATTCAGGTTGATGAATAAATAATAAATGATGTGTATTATCTGTTGATACTAATTCATATTTTGATGAATTATCAATTGGTTGATTATTAAAAAGCCAAACCGGTTTTTTATCTGTTGGTGTTGTTTCACAATCAAATTGAACCTAACAAAACAAAAAAATTATTAAAAAAAATTCTTACAAGGAAACGATCCGAACTAATACTTGCTGTTTGAGCTCATATTAAGGTCACAAGGAGGTCTCGATAAGATTAGAAAAATTGTAAAAGGATTCATACATATGAGTAGAGCCCATGGTAGTCCAAAAATTTTTGGATCGAACCCGATCGACTCTAAATATGGAACTCTGGAACCGAGACATCACAAATACTCGATGTGATAAAGTTTTATGGCCATAATCTCTTTTCTTGAACGATACTTATCGTGACGAAAATATGATAAGAGCAACGATAAGTAAAAATGATGAGATTATTAACCAAGAAGAAGATAATTATGTTCTGAATTCATTCGATCCAATTCAATGGAATAGTAGCATTACAGGAGTCTCAGTTCGGGCTTAAATTGACCTCATTAACCTTTATAAGAAGCCTTATGTCTTTCGTAGTGCTAAGCAGTATGAATTTAGATCATACTATAGTTATAGCGTCCTAATCAGTACTACCGAATGCAGCAAATAATTAAAAAAAACAAGGCTTTTTTTGTGGGGATTAATGAGGTCTATTTAAGACCGGGGTGAAAACTTCGGCCTCCTAAATAGTAACATATATGCGTGTTTTTGTTTAATTGTATTTGTAACAAAATATGTACTTTTATTATGTTTTGCATTTGTTGTATTCAAGAAAATTTAAAATTCTCCTTGGACAATTTACAATTTTACCTGACTCTCACTCTCTATTTTAATTTATCTAGTTGTTTTGATTCAGAAAAAATGAATAAATTATAACAATAAACTAAGAATATATAACTATTTTAGTAATCGTGATTGTTTGTGACCCTGATTTACGGCAGTCACTAATTATGACCATTTCAATGAAGTTTTGATCTTAAATTTCGCCTATAAATAGATAGAATGACTAGTGGAATACCCTGAAAACTTCAACTGAAAAGAATATTTCTTTGTCGAGATACTAAATTTTCAAGTAAGCTCGATTTTTGTGGCAAACGACCATTTTCTTTTAGGAAATTTAATATCTTAATAAAGAAACATATTTTTTTTGGCTGAAACTTTCAAGATATTCTACTAGTCATGTAACCTTTTTATAGGCGACATTTTAGATCAAAATATCGTTGTTTGACTTTCCGATAAATACCTAAAGCTGGATCATAAATCGACTCCAGAGGCCCATCAGCACAAACTCTTTTAGCATTTTTCTAGTCTTACTAATATCTCCTTGTATGTACCGAATATAAGCTCAAACGATAAGTATTCGTTTGAGTAGTTCCATTATTAGAATAAAAAAAAAATACAAACTTGTTGTTTTTGTCCTAAAATACATCTTTGTGGTTCAAGATGTTTTGTTATAGTAACATATTTATCTTTAACTTGAACATAACATGATGTTAAATCAACTTTTGGATTTGTAGCTAAACGTAAACTATAATAAGCTTGATCCTGTGTTAATTGACAATCATCTATAATTAATGTTTGTTCATTTCCATGTCGTACTAAACGATATTTTTGATTTGGATAAATTTCTTGACCATTTTTATACCATTTAACATCAGGTGCATCACCTTGAAATTGTACATGTAATGTACATGTATCATGTACATATATATTTTGATCTTGTAATGGTTTTATTAAACGACGATCACTTTCTGTCATTAAATTCATTGATACTTGACATTCATTTACAGCTTGTCCATTAGCAATAACACAACGATATAAACCTTGATCATCTGGTGATAAATCATGAATAATTAAGGCAACAACATGATGTTCATTAACTATTTCATGTTTTCGTGATGGAAATATTTCAATACTATTTTTAAACCATTGAATTTGTGTTGGTTTTCGATTAAGTGTACCATCAAGTGTTAATGATCGATCAGTTTGAGGTGAAAATTGAATATTTGAAGGTAATGATTGAGTAAAACGATATTCAGGTTCACGAACTGTTATATGACAAGAAGTTTCAAGTGAATCAGTAACAACACAACGATATCGACCAGTATGGTCAGGTTGAGCACGAGAAATCTTTTTTAGAAAAAAAAGTAAATTAATTTCGAAATTATCAATTGGGATTAAATTATATAATTTTATCGTAATTTAGTTAACATAACGAACGATCTTCAATGTTAGATTTCATGCATAGTACCGGAGTATTTCTATACAATTCATAAAAAATACTTGCCACTAGAAATATGTCCGACTATCAACGAAAAATGCTTTTTATTCTAATGAAATTCACTAATATTCATACGATCATGAGATTTATTTATCAACAAAATTTTAGATAAAAAATTCTTTGTTGAATTTTTGTATTAATAATTTGATCTATAGAAAAAACTCAACACAACTGTTGTAATTCCGTCGAGAAGATCAATGAATACAGATTCATTTTTAGACTAGGTTATTCTAGAGATTCTCTATATATTAGGGATCTGCAAAGCGATCCCGTTGGGACCAAATTTTGATTTTTACGGGATCCGGACTTACAACTTGCTAAACTGGTCTCAGTATAGTTTCTGTTTAAGGACTAGACTATATGTTATCATATTTATAATTTTGTTCTGACTATAAATCTACAAATTGACCCTTTTTTATGATCATGATACAAGCATAGATCTGTAAAATCACTTTTTTCGATCTTGGATCAGAATCGGAATTATCTTAGAGGTTCCTACTAAAAATAGTACCTATAGTTCTGAATATCCTAAATTTGGATACTATCAAAGGACTCTTGAGAAAATATCAATTGATTGATCTGAACCAGAAAGCAATCAAAAAAATTTTAACTGAGACCGAGACCAAAAAAAAGGTGGTCCCACCGTTCCCTACTCAATATGTTCAAAATATGAACTAAAAAATGATGAAATCAAATTGAAGAGTTCCTTCGTTAACAAAATACAAGTATTTAATTCTATGATTCTATTTAACTAGACATAAACACTCTAAAATAATTTTGTAAAACTTACTTGAAGTACATGTGTACATCCATCGGAAATTGTTCTCATAACTTGATCATATTGACTAATTTCTCTATTATCTTTAAACCATCGAATTTGATATGTTGGTCGATTTGTTCGACATTCAAGCATAAATGGTGAATCAACTTGAATATGTCCTGTATCATCATCTTCTAATAATTTAATAAATTTTAATGTTTTATCTTTATCATCTAATGTTAAATTTGCTGTTGTTATTGTATTATTTAAACAACATGTTATTGTTCCAATATCAGATTCTTGTACATTATTTATTGTTAATTGTATTTCACGATCAATTAATTTTGTTTGATAACGTTCATTTATTGGTAATGGATAACCATTTAAATACCATTGTACAGTTTTAGGAGCTTTGGAACAAACACATGTAAATGTAACTGTATCACCTGAATGTACACGTTGATCTTGAAGTGGTTTTAATATAAGTAATGGTTCAGGTGTTACATTAACATATGTTGTTGATTCAAGATCATTAACAATAACTGTATAAAGACCAGAATCTTCACTACTTGCATCTTTAATAATTAATTTATGTTTTTTATTTTCTGATACTGGAATAAATTTTTGAGGAGCCTAAAATAAAAAAAAAAGGAAAATAAATAAAAAGAAAACCAATTTTTTTTGTTTTAATTATAAATTTACTCGAATCAATTCATTATCTTTTTTCCATATAGCTTGTGTATCCATTTTATTCATTTCACATTCAATAATAATATCACGTCCACCAATAACATCAATTGATGGTGGTAAACGTCGAATAAATTGTAAATCTTCATTAGTTACTTGTACTTGTGCACGTGTCATAGCATTTTGTATTCGACATATATATTCACCATTGTCATCACTTGTAGCATTTGGAACAATAAGAATATGTCTTGTACCTTGTGTTATCATATGATATTTGCCATTTTCATCTAATTTTTTAGCTTGGTTAGGTGCTGTTGAATAAATATCAGTTTTAAACCAAGTAGCTTCACTTGATGGTTGAGATGTTTCAACAACAAGTCGTAATGGTTTACCTTGTTCAACACGTGTATCAACTAATGGTTGAGTTATTTGTACCATTGCTAATGTTTCAGTTATTTGTACACGTGATGTACTTAAACCATATGGTTCTTCACGATGAAATATTGGTGTCTGTTTATCATATGTTTCACTATCAAGAAATTGTATACGTTCTTCCGGTATAGATTCTTCACGATATGGTGCATGTTTTAATTCATGACGTGGCATAGTTGGACTAAATAAAGAAATTTGAAATGAAAATTATTTTTTTAAAATATATATCAATCAATGAAACTACCTCATTGGTATCTGCATTTCAACAACTTTTCGTTCAACTGATGTACGTGTTGATGGTTGTCGAGCTGGTGATCGACTTGGTGAAAATGTAACAGATGTACGATGTCGTTGATGTTCATCTTGTTCTTCATAGACAGGTGGCATTTTTGCTGATGGAGTAACATTTGTAAGTGTGATACTTGTTTTACGTGTTGGTGATGGTGATGGAGATTGTGAACTACGATCAATATAATGACTAAATTCTTGTAATTGACTTGATGATTTATATGTTGTCGATGGAGAAAAATGACGTGGCATTGATATACGTTCTCGTTCAGGACTTGTTCCTGATGAATAACCACTACGAATATATTCACGTTGTGGACTTGGACTTGCACTTGGACGAGATTTTGTTGTACCTAAAATAAAAAATTTTTTGTTTGAAGAAATTAAATTTTGTCTATTTTACCTGGTCTAGGTCCTGAAGATACACGTTGTTCACTTGTTTCATGTATTGTAATCTTTTTTGTTCGTCGTGTTTCTTCAAAACGTGGTGATCTACGTCGATCATCATCACCTAATGATGGTATATAACGAGGAGCTGTTGGACTCACACTTGAACGATAACCACCTAACTCAGGTGTTTGACTTGCACGTGGTGAATCAATTTTCATATATGAACCAAAACGTTCTTCACTACGTGGTGTTCGTTCACGATGAATAACTGTTCGAATTGTTGTCGATGTTGATTTACCTTCTCGTGTTACACATGTATAAACACCTTAAATAAAAATTAAAAAGCAGAAAATTTTTTTTTTCTGGAATTTTTTCTATTAAATATTACCTTCATCATATTCAGTAAATTGTTTGACAATTAATGTTGAATGTTTTTCATCACCGACTGTTCGATATTTATTACTTGTTTGCGTCAATGTTGTACCATCTTTAAACCATTGAAAATATGTTGATTCATATGTTTCACATTCAAGTATTGCATCTTGGCCACGACCAACTTCCATAAATGGTTTTAATGGTGTAAAAAATGCCGCTAAAATATCAAATAAATTTTTTTTTTATATGAAAAGCTTTAAAAAAATTTTTTGTTTTACATTGTTGTTGAGCATCTTCAACAAGTAGTTTACAAGTTGTTGCAACAGATGGATGTTGTGCTATCGAACATAAAACTTCACCTTGATCACGTAAATCCAAATCATCAATATCAAGAGTATGTAACGTTGAATTATTAAAGTTTCCTAAAAAAAAAACAAAAGAAAGAAATGTTTTTATTAAATAATAGTTTATATATAAATATTCAAGAAGTTTCGAATAAATTTAATTATAAAAATTTTTTATTTCGTTAATTATTTAAATAATTCGATATGTTCAATATATCATATCTGTTTTAAAAAAAATTAGTATAAATTTTTTCTATTAGAATACAAATGCATTAGATTAAATTGATGACTCAGATTATTAATATATTCTATCGTAAGAAACGATTATCGATAATTAACTACAACATGGTATTGTCATTAGCCTTTTCTCATCCATCTATCATATATTACAAATGGAGCCTATCGAATTAGTCCTTGATCCCGACCGAGTTCGGGATCGAATGAACAGACCATACTCTAAAAGTAACAGTCAATAATGCCTTGTTTATTATCAGATCATCATCAAGGTTGTCTGAGAAAAGTGTAGGATGTGTTTTGGAGTGATTATCAGACTCAGACTAAAAATTTTCGTTGACATTAGAGTGTAATTCGAGTCCAAACAAAAGAGGAAATTAGTTTCTCAGCACGTAGAATGGATAAATATATTTTGTTTAGATTACATCGAACAATAGAGTAAACAACTCTTTACAACATAAGATGTCTCCGAGTTCTCTGCGATTTTTTCTAGCCAGTCTTACAGCAGCCCCTAAAGCTGGTTTTTTCCAATTTCTTATAGAAAAATCATTTTTGGCCTTCAATCAAATTACTATATCTCAGCCAAAAAGCATCACAGAGAACTTGGTGATGTCTCTTTTTGTAGAGAATTATTTACTCGATCATTCTATATAATCTAAACAAAATTATATTTACATACTCTAGGTGCTGAAAAACTAGGATCTTCGTTTTCTGGAATTCCTATCTTTGCGAATTTGATAGTAATTTTTATTTCCTAATTTTCATACTCACTGTATATTAAAAGCTATAGCTCAAACGCTTCGCGAAAATTCAAACCTGAAGTCTCTGTCATTTTTCTCTCGGGTTCAAAAACATTACACCCAACACGTTCTCATTACAAACAACAAATTTTTCTATTCTAATTTTCAATATTTAGAATACGTATAATTATAAACAATAATTACCTATTGTATATTTATAACTATTTTCAATAATTTTCTTGCCACGATGTGTCCATATAACTTGACAAGAATTACTTGTTTCACATGATAATTTAACTGTTTCACGTGTATTAGCACGTGCATCCATTAATGGTACAATAAAAACTGGTAATAATGATTCAATAGTAAGTCGAGCTTGTGATGTATTTAATCCAGTTGATGCTGTATATTCTCCATCATCACGTAAATTAACATTACGAATAGTTAATCGATGAATAAGACCATTTGCAAATGATTCTATTTGATATTTATCTGATGGAGCTAAATGTTGAACATTTGATTTAAACCATAACATTTGTTTTAATGGTTTATTAAGTTCACATTCAAAAACAGCATTATTAGATACTGTTAATGAACTTTCTTCAATAATTTGTGAACGTAATGGACGACGAAATATAATTGGTTGTTCTATGAAAGAAATATTTGTAAAAAAGATTTCCTTTTTTTTTTTTTGAGTTTTTACCTTTGACAAATAATTGAGCAGTTGAGGTATTTTTATTATCAACACGTATTGAATATTCACCTTCATCATTCATAGCAACTTTTGGTATAATCAATTGACGAATATAACCACGTGATGCAATTAAATGATGTTGTGATGTAACAATCGGTATTCCACGAAACCACCATTCAACTTGAGCATCTTCTTTTGATAATTGACATTCAAAAACGGCTTCATTATTTTCTGTTACTTCAATATTTTCAAGTGGACGTACAAATTCAGCAGCAGGTCCTTGAAACACAAAAAAAATCAAGAATTTTTTATTAGAATATTATTCATATATATATAAGACGTAAGCCGAAAGTTTCTAGACAAATTATTTGACTATTTTTCTCGTATTTAAATGCATACTGATAGTGATTTTTTTTGTGGAAGTAGAATTTTATAAAGTCTATCACAAGAAAAATAGCTAGTTTTTCGATTTTTGTCTTGTCATCGCAAAATGAACCCTCCGTTACAATTCTGCCATTTTTTAGCAGATGAACCAAAACGCTCTATTCTTGCATTATGTTGTAGAGTAGACATCACTCACAAGTACTAGATATATTTTCAGAACTTTTTCTTTTCTCCAACTAAAATGATCGAAAACTAGCAGTGTTTGAAGTCCATAGCTCATGCTCTCACAAGGGAACCATTCGAAATAATTCATTACTTTCAACTATATATTTTGTCCATAACTAGGAGAAGTCTAAGAGGATATGAGTCCATGTTACGATTTAGCTGAAATATGGAAGTTTGACGAAAACATCCATAACTCGACCAAATCGCAACATGGGTCCATCTCATCTTAGGCTTCTCCTAGTCATGGGCTAAATATGGAATCAAAAGCGATGAATCACTTCGGACGATTCTCTCATCAGTATTTTTTTGAATAAGAAATAATTATAATCAGTAAAAGAATTTTTCATACAAAGAATAATTGTAGCTTGAGATTTAAACAGTTGGGGTTTAATAAAAGTACTAACTAATAATGAAAAGCTCTCATTTCAATGATATTTAACTGATGACATTTCGAAACTATACCAAAAATCGAAAGAAAATTTGATTTTAACATCCGAAAAAAAAGGCGAGTCTCTTAAATAGTTAAAACTTTCAGCTTATTCCGTATTTTTCTTTTCAATATTAACCTTGAACATTAAGATGAAGTGTAACACGATATTTATCTGCTTGACAAACATAATCTCCTTGATCATCTGTTGAGACATTTTTAACAATTAATTCTCTTTGTAAACCATCATCGACACGTTTATATTTATGATTTTCTTCTTGTTTTTCACTAAATAATGCTTGTTCACCTTTATACCAATCAACATAAACATCTGGACGTTTAACTGCACATGATAATTTAGCTGTTCCATGTTCTTCTGTTGATACTCGAGTTGCTGGTATTGGAATAAAAACACTTTCACGTTCTATATAAATTAAAATTCATTCATAAAACAAAAAAAAAATAAAAGAAAAAACAAACCAAGAATTTGTAAATTTGTTTTTGAATTTGCTGTACCATATTGATTTCGTACTGTAATTTCATATGAACCTGAATCTTGTGGTAAAGCATCCGAAATAACTAATGAATAAGTTCCATTTTGATCCTGAAATACTGAATAACGACCACCTGGCTGAATTTCTTGACCATTTTTATACCTAAAATTATTCAAAAAAAAAATAATAATAATGTTTTAGACATTTGAAATCTATTTTGATATTAACCAAATAGCAGATGGCATGGGTGTTGCTGTAACAGTACATTTCAATGTAACAATATCTCCAGCTTTAGAAATAATTGGCATAAGTGATTGAAGAAAAATTGGTGCTCGACCAATATGTGGTGTTAGTTTATATGCACCAGTTTGATCATATGTCATTTCTGTTATACGTAATTCTTCTTCATTATCAGTTGTATCTTTAAAATAGAAAATAATGATGAAATTTAAATTAAAAATTTTTATCAAACCTTTTTTTGCTTCAGGTGATGAACCTTCACGAATAACTAAATCATCGCGTATTGTTCGTTCATCACTTGTTTCTAATTTAAAAAAATAAAATAAAATATACTCAAAAATTTTTATTAAAATTTATTAATTTACCTTCTCGTACAAATAATTTACAGCTACAAATAACTGTTCCGGCATGATTAGAAATTTTTATTGAATAAACACCTCCATCTTCAACAAAAGCTTCCTAAAAGAAAAGATGATGTTTTTTTGGTTTTCAATATTTCATAAATAATTAAAAGTTCATTTTAACATACTTTAATGTGTATTTGAAAACGTTTATCTTCTTGTATTAATCTACAATCAGCATTATCTTGTAAAGGAATATTATTTTTGAACCATGTAGCATGTACTGGTGTTGTACTAACAACAATACATTCTAATGTGACAAAATCACCCTCTAAAAATAATTAAATTTTAATTTATATTTGTTTTTTTGAATAGGAACGTAACTAGATTAGGGCCTGAATTCTCTATCTGTCTCTCCCGTACAAAGTATTTTTCTCGTTACGTTATTAGTTTTTTTGAATAAATCATACCTGTTGCTAATGTATCATTTAATTTTTTCAGAAATTTTGGTTTAAAATCTTCCGTTTCCCCAGCTGTTTGATAACTTGATTCAGTTTCACTTCCAACAGAATAAAAATCTGATGTACCAGATGTTGTCTGTCCTGATGAACGACCACGTTTTTGTTGTTCTAATATCTTTAATAAAAAAAAAATTCATTATTTATCAAAAGAAGAAAAATAAAAAGATGATTAATTGATGTTTACTGTTGATTCTAAAACGTCCATTGTACGTTTTTTTACTGTCGAACGTTTTTGTCGTGTGTCATCTTCAGTTTCAGTTGTCTCAACCATTTCAATTTCTTCGACAAAACCTATTCGAAAAATAATAAAAAAAACAAAAAAAGTAAACATCGACAAGTTCAAATCTAAAGAACTGTTGAAAACATTCTTTGATCTGTTCGAACAATCTTTTTATTCTGTTACTGAACTGCAGTTCTCAAAATAGAACAAAACTTTTCTGACAGTTCACCAAGAAACTTCTCCAAGTGTTAAATCGATTTTCGACTGAGATGTTATTCATTTGATGAATACTAGTGAGTTTGATTTTCCGGATCTTCATTCTTGCGATATTGAAATTTTATGGGACTTTTCAAGAAAAAGCTGTGGTATCCCTCAGGTAGAATCCGTCAGGTCCAAAAAAGTTACTTTCGAGTTTCGACGTCAAACTTTGCACGAAATTAGTTCATTGAACAACTTGTAACTTGTCTAGTATCACCTATTGTAAGATATTGAATATTCGAAATTCTCTCATGTGTAAAAACAAATTTGACTACATTGCTAGAAAAGCGAAAACTTGCCCATTGAATTAATATCATTGAGAAGTTTGTTCATGTAAAATTTGAAGTCGAAAGCCGATTTTCCATGTAACCTGAGGAGGACCACAGCTTTTTTTTTGAAAAAACAAACTTGTCAAATTTCGATATCTCAAGAATGAAGATTCCGAAAATCAAATCATTCTAGACTTTTCTATTACTCTCTAGCACTTATCGAATGAACATCATCTCGATCAAAAAGTGATTTGACATCTGGAGAGGTTTTCTTGTCAGTAGAGCTCATCGGGTTGGTTCCAGATCCGACGAAATCTACTAATCAGTTCCAAGAACTGAAATTTAAACTGAAAACTGATCAACTTCTCGAAGAAAGAAAAGAAGATTTTGCTATTCTAATTTTTTGATAAGAATAAAAATTTGAAAATATAAAATAATAAACTTACCAAGAGACTTAAGATTATCTCTTAATGCTCTAACTAAAGACATTTTCGAAAAAGCATTTCGAGCATGAAATGTAACACGTTCATTATCATTAAATGTTATTTCAAATTTTTTATCATCATCAGGAAAGTTTTCTTGAATAAAAGTTATTTCATTTGTCTAAAGAAATTATTAAAAAAAAAAAACTTTCTTTAAAAAAAAAACAAATTCTTTTTTATTTTTTACTTACATTATATGCTTGTTTGAATGCTAATGATCTCGATTCCAATCGACTATCCGCACGTTTACGTCGACATAAAACAATTTTATGACGATACAAATATAAAAATCTTTCACGTAAACGTGTACCAATTTCATTGACTGAATCAAGATCATGATCGGCTGTTTTAATTAAAACCACATCATGACGTTTTAGATCTCCTAATTGTTCATTGGTAAATGGTATATTATCAATAAGTTCAGTTGCATCACGTTGTCGTGCATCGTTTATAACATTGCTTATCATTGTATAAGCTTGTTGAAATATTGTACTATCTTCACGCATACGATTTGTATATTTAACCATTTCCTAGAATGATAAAATATTTAAACAAAATTCTTTTTTTTTTGTCATTTAATTTTACTTGTAAAATATTTTTATATTTTTCAAGTCGTTGTATAGGTCGATTAAGTAAATTATTAAGTGTTAAATCACTTGATAAACCTAATCGTTGTGTTAATTCATCAAAATAACGTTGAATATTTGGATTTGTTTGTAGTACATGTTCAGATCGTGAACGATCATACATATACTGAGAATAAAGATTTAAAAATTGATCTCGTCGACGTAAAAATACAGAAGCCAATTCCTTTGGCTCATGTTCAATAGCATTAGTTAAGTCATTCAAGAATAGTCTTCAAGAAGAAAACAAACAAACAAACAAACAAATAACAACAATTTATTTTTTATATTTAATACATACACTTTGTGGAATGCGAATATGTCTTCGATGTTGCTAAATAAAAGATCTTTTTTTTCTTTGACGAACCACGGGCATTCTTGACGAGTTAATTCATATAGATAAATTTCAATAATACGTTGAAGATCAGCAACATATGATCGTTCGCTCTCGAGGACGTCAGCGAAGACATATCTTATAATTAATAAAAATAAACATTAAACATCCTATGTCATATCTATCATTTCTTAAAAGATATGATGATAAATTTTCTTTTATCAAATTAATATTCTTATTCTATATTCTCAGTAGATTTTTCATAGATAATATAATAATATTAGTTTTTAAGTATAAAATCCCATATAATTATCAGTCTTATTGTATAACAATATGGTATATTAATCGTCGAGAACAGAAAGAAAAAAAATAAAAACATGTTTATTGTACTACATAATTACGAGAAAAACAATAGTTTTACGATAATTTCTGATGACATAAAATACTAAGTTGTTTTCTCATTTACAACAAGAATGTCATTATGTTTTCTATTGTTTTGCCTCTAGTGGAAAATGATAAATTTGTCCGAAGACATTTGGATACAAGTAAAGAACAAATGTTTCAAGGATAATTTTATCTTGTGGAATATTTAGATGAAAGGAAATTATTACAATATTTAGATTTGCCAAGTTTATCTAATATTTTCAGGCATAACCTTGATTAACAAATCAGAAACAAATATCTACATTGATTATGTAATCTAGCTTAAAAACAACATTGCTAATCTATCGAACTAACAGAAAAAAAAGACGCTGAATTAGAAATAAATATTGATTCTCTTTGTTTTTCATGATTAACTGAAAGAAAAATCTATTGTTTTTGATCTCTTTGAGAAATACTAGCATTTCCTGCTGATTCGATCAAAACATTCTAACTGATAGGAACTTTACCAAACAAATACAATAATAATTACCTTCGCTTGATGACAGCCTCGTCATATCGACTAGTACTAGTAGCACTTGGTACAGCTTGATCACCTGGTTGAACTTCTCGTGTGCTGCGCCGATTGATCTGTAACAAACGTTCTTGTCGTTGACGTTCATATTCATTATAATCATGAAAATGATGAGGCTGATAAGCTTGTTGGTGCTGTTGTTGTTGTTGTTGTTGTTGTTGTTGTTGCTGTCGACGTCGCTGCTGCTGCCTCTGTTGATATTCAGTTTGTGGTGAAAATTGACGAAATGAATTTAGCGCTATCCCAATACCCGTTGGACTACCTTTCCTCATTTCATCTCGTATAGAATGAGCGCTAGAATAAAATTCTTTACGCCCATCTGGTGTAAAACTTGATGTTTGACGTCGACTCATATGATGTCGATAGGATGGTTGACGATAAAGACGACAATTTATGCAAGGACAATATTCACAATGACTTTGATATGGACACGGTGATTCTCTTCGTCGATAACTATGATATTCATGCGTTGTTACTGTATGTGTTTGCTCACTTGCACTACGTCGATATCGATTACGGTCAAATATGAATGATGATAAGCTAGCTGGATTCCACGTTGACGACGACATTAATATAGATTACGAGACGAAAAAAACTTCCGAATATGGACTGTTTTGCTATTTTTGTTTCCTTTTATTTTGTTGCCTTTAACTTAACTATTTTATCTTTATACGACAACAACGACTAAGATGCAAACGATGAAGACAACAGTCTTATATTAATACTAACCACCACCCCCCGTTTTCCCTTGTCGACTAATACAAATGCTTCTTCCTTACGCAACCTCACAATGATGATGGCGATAATCGAACGTGTATATATGTTTCAGCCAAAAAATTCTTATGAAACAGAGAAGAGAGCAAGAAAAGCAAGAGAGAATGCTATATCAGGTATAAGAATAACAACATCAACAACGACAGCAGGCACATCATTCTCTGCTAACATCTTTGTCACATCATCGGCTGTTGCTGCTACTGCTTCGTTGCTTTTATTTCTTCTTTCTCTCTTTCTGTTTTCTATTGCTGCTAATATGGTTTTTTGCTATCTTTCTCTTATTGCTTGTCCATAGATAGAGTGCAGGTTGGTTATACAGACGTTGTATACAATTAAGAGAAAAAAAACGATCCATCGTACATTGCCTTGCTTAGTGAATGCCTATAGAAAATGTCATGTTCCTTTCTCGCTTTCTATTCTGTCTCCACCACTTGTTTATCATCTAATCAAAATGAAGAGAAGAAAGATAAATACGTGATGAAACTTACATCAACGATGGGCTATTGATCCATTATTTCCTGATGCGCACGTACCATATTATATACGTATACATATATATGTATATATATATTGCGCGCTAAATATCGACAAATGAAAGATGTGCTTAGTATTCCTAGTAATCTTTTTTCGATTCAATGAATATCATTTTGTTATTAATGTATAGAAAGAATGTAGATACAGTAGTAGTAGTAGTAGTAGTAGCAGCAACAACAACAACAACAACAACAACAATGGTAGCAGTGATATGAGTGAGTAATAGAAAAAAAAAAGAATGAGATATTTAATTTTACGAACCTGTCCTATATTGGTTGATTTCTTCTCAAGAAAACATGCATCAACCCAACCAATTTTTTGTCGTTCATCTTTACGTGGTCGAGTGCGAACAAGATATTGTACGGGATCATGTGAATCGAGCACATCGACAAGTTGATTCTCAGCAAGTGCAATCCCATCAGGACGTGTTGGGACATAATCAGAATTAGCATAATATACTTCGGCTTCCTTAAAACAAAAAAAATGTTCATTTTAAATTTTATTTTATTTCGATATGAAAGTTTCTTTTTATTATTATTGTTTAGTAGAAATGATGCCTACGTAAAATCATTGATACTAGATTATTCGAATGAATCATTGAATAGATATTTGCCATATGTAGGGGGACTTCGTTATTGATAAGACACTATCATATATATCAACACATCAGTTAATTGTCAACCATAGAAATTCTTGCTTGTTATCTTTTTCTTCTTTTCTTCTTAATCAGAACTGACAACTGACCCGACAAGATAGGAAATATTATCGTTAACCGCCTACTCTACTATTCAAATTTCTTGTTTATGTTTATATGATGATATGTTTCTATATATAGAATATCTGTACAACAAACCTCAGTCATTGTTTTTAAATCATCACTACTTGAAGATGAATCTTGTTCTTCTTGACTTATTGGATTATATCGTTTGTCGATACTGCTAGTCACTGCACCGGACTTTTTCGTAAATGTTCGCTTGCTTGAAACAACTAAAATGAAAATATAAATGTTAAAAGTGAATATTTATCTCTATTTTGATGTTTATGCTATCGATAGATATAACTATAACATTGTCACAGAACCTGAATTCAGGATATCTTTCAATCAAACCTTTGAGTTCTTAGTATTTAACTACAAAATGCTTCTAAATGTTCGATCTACGAACTTATTGAAAAATTTTTCATAGACTGTTATAAAAATTGGACAGGTACCTGATACGTATAGATAATTCTCAATAGGATACTCAACCAAGATCCTGTTACATACTCGTAACAGGGTATCCTGCTGACAACTCATCTAGTACACAGTTATCTTGAGCTTAGTACATTCACCAGGAGAATACATTTAAATTGAATAGTATAAAATGATGTATAAGGATCGTACGTAATAAAAGAAACATGTATGATAACTATGTTTCATAAATTTCAATAATAAGTTTTTTTATTTATTTATTTTATTCTTTTTCGATCTGTACAGATTTATCACAACTAATATCTCTTCCTTTTTTTGTTTAATGAAAACATCGATTAGATATTTGTTGCACTCAATGTTAAATAATTGAAATATTTATTTTGTATGAACAGGCGCAAAAGAAGAAAATCATTGTCACGCTCATATATTAAATATTTCGTAATAACTCTCAATCATTGTCAAAAAATCATCACCTTGGAGTAGCACTCAATAAGCATCATAACTTACGAAACCATTTTTTATTCCCAAGGACTTTCTCTTGGAAAATATAGCATCATTTATCATTACGTACGTTAGCTTCTGTTGTACAAATTTAGATATAGATTCTTCTCTCAAGGAAGACACGGCATTTTTTTTAAAGAAGATATCGACAACATACACAACTAAGTCTAAATTATTAACATACTAAACAAATGAGGTGAAATTAAATCTTATGTAACAAATAATTTTCTTTTATTCATTTTAGATGTAAAAATAATCATCTCGAAAAAAATAATTCAATTAACTCCAATCAGTTATAGTATAATATTTATTATTGGCATTATTCCGTAGATATGTTTTATAAGATTTGCATTCTCAACAAGACTTAATCATGTACAGGCAAGAAATGAACTCTGATAAAAACCAACTATATCATAACAGTAAAATAAACTGAAGCTTTTTTTAAATGAAAAAAAAAACTCTAAGATTGTAGGCAGAAGCTGACTGTCAAAAGACGATGTATAGACTTAGGAAACGAGGTTTATCATAATAATTATAAAAAAAGTAATGTTTTCAATTTTTCTGATTTTTGGTAAAATTGACGGAAAAATTTCAAAATCTTATTTCAGCTTTTTCTTTCCTTTGCTAAAATAATTTAGTACTTTGAATAAAAATTATAGATTATTAAAATTCTTCTTAATATCGGTAATATCAACATCAGAATCTCTTCGTTGTGTTTTTTAAAACAATATTAACGATTAGTTTTTAGGATTTCTGATCAAACGTTGAATATGTTTAAAAAAAAATAAGAATAAACATCGATGTCATCATTGAGACTGTTTATCTGAGTTATTTTTATGACTAATAGTGTATACTACATAGATAATTCAAAATATATTACAATTTCTTTCTAATAAAACATCCAAATAATTTACTAGAATTACTTTTATACATCTACTGAGCGTGAACACAAGAGTTTAGAAATTATTGTAAATAATTGAGTAGAACAATTGCATTAATATTTATCGTTTGATGGAAATTTCTACAACATATAATGACTTAGCCTTGGAAACTAGACAATAGCATTTCTCATGCTTAGGTCACTAGTCATAAATGAAAAGATATCAATCAATCGTTTCTGTTTGTAATATTGAGTTACCTTGTTCGACACTACTATAGTTTCCTGTATAAAAGATTATTTTTTGATTATATAATAATTGATTTTCATTGACTTTTAGATGTCAAGAAATGCTGCTCTATGATTTTCAATGCGATAAATCTTACTATTCTAGGATATCTCAATAAAGCTTTCATTTACTAAAATAAACATTTTGTTTATATGGAATAATGTAGTTTGCACTTAGGCAACCTTTGCGTAGGAGGATTTTTTTCATCTGATGTGGAACTAGTAGATACTGTCATTTTTTTTTCTGCTTGTATTATCTTATTAGGAATAAGATATTTAATTAATATTTACAATCTAAGTGTTGTCTAATGCAAAAAAAGCATAATTTCATCATCTTATAAGAAATGTTTTAGCACTTAACTCTTCTTTATATATAATAGAAGAATAACATTCATCTAATTATGTTTCTAATTATACTAATATAAAATCAAAAGATCTAACAAAGAATTTTATTTTTTCTTGAAATTTATTACAATTACCTGTTAGTTATGTTTATTTCTGGTATCAATGTTTCTATAAAACAGCCAATTCTTGAAGAAGAATAATATAATAAGAAAGCTACGCGTTTTGTGTCAGTCTTTGAATGCGTAGTATGTATTCTTGACACTGATCGTTGGTCTTTACATATGAAACAGAAGCATCTACATCTAGCTATTTATGTATTTCTTATTTCTCTGTGTGTACATCATACTCTTTGTTATTATCGTAGGCGTCATAAATACATATTCTCTCGCTATGATCAATCTCCTATTGTGTATAGTTAAATGTAATATTCATTTTTTTTTTGTTTTTGTTTTTTTTACATTCATTATTATTATCAAAATAAAAAAAAACCTAATGTAATAATACACAATCAGTGTTCCGATTTTTTTAATGTGAAATAATATCTATTTACTATTCGGATAACATTGATAGGAACTTACCCTTTTGTTATCTGCTTATCCGTAAACGGAACAGAAAAAAAGGAAAAAAAAATGTTGATCGATCAAGAAGACGATAAAGACAGTTGAAGACAGATATGTACTGTGGTTTTTTCTTCTTGTTTTTCGTCTCTCGTCAAACAGACAAAAAGGCTTGCAACACGCGTAGTCAATTACTGAAGACAACGTCGATTAGAAGTTCGGCAAACAGCACCAATGGAACTACAATAAGATATCCATCAATTTATATAGATTGGAAACTGTTTCTGTTTCTTGTTTCTCTACTTGATGAAGAGCATACAGAGAAAATAGAAAGAAACAAACGTTAGATATCAGTACCCATTTTCTTTTGGTATCGTATATTTCCTCTTTTTTTTTCTTCTTATGTTACATACATATATACATACGATTTGTAAGAGAATAGCAAGCTAAAGCGAGACCAATGACTAATTTCTCTTTTTTTCTTCATGCACATCAATGATTATA